TAAATTCTTTTATTAAAAACAGCCCGTGCAAATACAAGAGATCTGTGAGTATAGAAAACAATGGAAATAATTTGAAATCTCACGAGCTTTATYTAAATTTCTGAATATATTTTAGCACACATGAGGCTAACACAGCGTAAACGAGATCGCGAAACCCAACTATTACGAAGAACATTCAAAACATTACTCGTGACTATTAAGTTCCAAATTGTATTCAATGTCGTGCGATTTTTTGTTTATAATACATTCGTCCATTCGAGTTTTTTTCGTTGATGTAAACAAAAATACATCAAAGACAYGTGTTTAAAATTTCCAAACTAACTTGCGAAAATTTCCAAAATATTTCCAAACTAATATTGGGAGTATTTCCAAACTATTTCCAGTTTATTTCCAAACTATCATCACCGATTTTTCCACAGCTATTTCCAAACTATATCCACACTATTTCCATAGTATGTAAATTCAAAAAAGTACCACATATATATTTCCAAACTATTTCCAAACTAAAATTGTTTGTAAATCAATTCCATACTATGGAAATAGTTTGGAACATTCAACTTACATAGTATGGAAATTGATTTTTACAAATTATTTACATACTATGGAAGTCGTTTGATTTTTCCAGTGAAGAGGACATGGCGTAATGCAGTCCGTAGCAGTTATCGATATGTGCTATTCAGATTTTTCGCTTTTTTTGTCCTAAGTTTACTGTTGGTCGTATAGTAAGTGGATAGTTGAAGGTCATAAAATTMTCTTCTGTTGTATATATTGTTTGTTTACATACGAGTGTAATATTTAATTTATTTTAATTAATATTTTATTTAATATTTTATTTAATTTCGCTCAATTTTGGTTGTCATTTTGTTAGTGGTCCTGAGACATTTGAGAATAGTTGAGGTGACGTTTTTGACACCATTTTTTGTGGTAAAAATAACAACGATACAGTGTGAAATCGATGTTAATTCCAGTTGAATTACTCTTCATGTTAGCATGAGTGTGCAAACAACATGGCACAGCACAAACGAAAATTATAGAGTTTTTCGCTTGACAATCAAAACACGGCAGCTTTTCCGAATGTTGTTCAATATATATATTACGACAAGGTCACAGCACGGCAACGTTCGTTTCACAGTAATACGAACAGTCCTCTAAGTAGTCAGGACCCTTAATTGTAGGTGTTTTATGCTATGGTCTGTACGCTTATAAACTGATCAAATCTCAGAAAACAATAGAGTTGTCCGTTTATTACAGCCATTCCCAAATGGAGACGTTTAGAATCAA